TTTTTGTGGCTCTTTCTCTCTCCTTCTCTTCTTCTCTTTTTTTATTTTTATTTTTATTTTTTTATTATTTTTTGTATGAAGACACTGGCTCCCCCTACTGCTGGAAGAGCCAAGCCAGGTGGAGAGAGCGCCGAGGGGCCAAAGCCCGACCAGGCAACCACAAGGACGCTCCTTGACGGTCGACTGCCAGAGCATTGCAGACTCATAAGAGTGTAGAGCCTCACCCCTAACCACCCACCGCCCCTCCCTCTGGGGAGCCTACCTGTCCAGCCATTCTTGCAGGTACGGGAAGCCTGCTCATGGCGGAGAGGCTAGGCGGCCTTGGCCCGGGGAAGAAGTGTCCCGCCCTGACTCCCTCAATCGGGGTGGCAAAACAGCTAGAGCCCAATAGCTGATATTGACGTCAGGGCAACATTTCACCATCAAGTCTTTCACGTTTCAAAAAAAAAAAAGAAAAAAAAAAAGAAAAAAAAGTGTGTTCCGAATCCTCCTATGGTGTCCTGGTCAGAGAAGTTTTTTTTTTCCCATTTCAGTTTAGCTATGAGTCTACTATGACTCCACTCACTATCACCGTATCACGGCCCCGGGTTTGTCAGAGAGAAAATATTGCTTCAATGATCAATCCCTTTCGTTTATACAATGCCTCTTACATTATGCCATTGGATAAGTCCATGTACTACTCATCCTGTAAGTCTATCCTGTACAGTGGATATGTCCATGAATAGACTTACAGGATGCATATTATGCTTAAAGTTTCACATGGGAGTACTAAATTTACCGAGTACGTTGACTAAGTTTACTTTTACTGAGGTAGAAAAAAAATCTGTAAATCTGGAGACCAATGGACCAACTGATCAATCTATCAGTCAATCACTGGCAATAGCTCAACCAAACAATCAACGAATCAACAAATAGACCACTGATCGACTAATGATTGAACAATGATCGACAAATGATCCACCAATAGAGCAACCAATCAATCAGTCAATTTATCAATACATCAATCAATCAACAGTTCAATCAATCCATCCATCAATCAATCAATCAGTAAGCCAATTGATCAATTGATCCACTGATCCAACAGTCCATCGATCTTATGATCATCGATGTACTGATGGATGGTGTCATTCAAGTTGGTGTGATCTCCTGATAGACTGGAGAACTGATAGGGCTGCTCCCAGCTGGGGGGAGGGAAAGGGCCGCAGGCCCGCAGAGAAGGCAGGGAGAAAGGGAGTGAGCTGTTCTGCACTGGTTAATGTGGTTATCATAGTGCACAGCCTCTTTCTCACTGCACGCCATGCACGGCATCAGTCACAGTCTCACAGATGTCCAAGCCTGTGCAACATCCTCTTTTTGGACTAGGCCAATTTATGTACAGAGGGTATTAAGCCTCTTTCTGTATGGGGGTCCCAACTAGTACTAGTATTTGATACTTGTGGGAGACATAGTTGCAGTACACTGCATTACACATCTATGACAAGCTGGCAGCCTGGCACGAGGTCATGTCGATCTTGAAGCTCACACATTGGCAAGAGACAAGCAGCACAAGCTCGTGATAAGTTGATATTACTTGATAACCAATCAGCGGTCCGGCCACGCTGCGCTATCGCTGCGACTGGTGGTTGCCTCACTGGAACAAGCCCATAACAAGTGATTGGATCATGGTGGCGTTCGCAAAGTCTTAGACGAAGAGGGAATTGAGGATTTGAGGCAAGGACATGCCAGATGATGATCCGGTATGTACAATTGCAGACGCATGCGTAGTCCGGCTTGGCATTGTGTTTACTAGGTGCTTTCATAGACAACGAAAGCTTAGGTACGACCTTTCGTATCAGCAGCAGATCCATAGTTAGATCATAATGACTGCGCAGTTGGTCCCGGTGTCAGGAAACCCGACTGGATTTGGCCACCCAGCACTGGAGCAGCACCGCCAGAATCTTATCCTCGCAATCTTGCGATTTCATTGAGGATTTTTTTGCTTAGTACATGAAAGAAGGAAACTTTCAGGAAAAAGAAAAACGCCCTTGCGCAGAAGGTACAAACTTGAGGTGGTACATGTGCTAACAGCCTGCAGTGGCGCTGCACACAATCTCCACCAAAGTTGACCAAAGGCAGCTCCTTTTTATGCGCAACTGGCATTGAATTTCCTCCTTCTGCGATGATCATTCACATTTCGAAAACCGTGTTTCTTCACCTACATCACAGAAAACATTGTCTAAATTTTAATGGGCGTACGCCATACGCAAGCCTGCCAAGCCATGAAAAGTGCGCAATGGAATCCTGACAGCTCCAGGCTTGTCCTACTCATATTAAAGTCTCAACCTTTGGTGGCAATGGTGGCAGAAAGGAGCTCTCTTGCAGTCCGGGTGGCGGGTGGGGTAAATTGAAGCAACGGAAAACGAAGTAGAGAAGATAAAGGCTCATAAAGCATGGCATTGCAATCTGGGTAAAGTTACGCGCATCAAGTCAGTGAATTGATCCAAGTTCAAATCAGATTCCGAAGGAAGGAACCTTTCTGATTTGATTTCACATTTGCATGCATATTACAGTGATTAGGCAAAAATGCGAAAGAGAGAACTTTGGAAGAAGACAAGTTTAGGATGCCCAGGTGTAACTGTGTTGACAACAACCATATATATTTACAGTACTAAAAACTATAGAACAGTGCCCAGAAGGGTCATAAGACTCAGAACATAGTCCATGGCCATATACTGAACGGACAAACCATGGCAACTGCATGGGTGGTTCCCCCTTGTGCATGTGGGGGGAGGGGAAGGGGGGAGGGAGGGGGGGGGGGGTTGGGGCGGAATGGTACGGTTTGGTACCTAAGATAGTAAGATGTTAACAAACAGATCAACAGTTCGAATCCTGTTGATACAATGATGTTAGGGCCTACCACCTGGCACCCGTTCAAAAAAGGCAAAAAACCTCCTCCATGGAAGACCCAATACTGTGGAGGAGGGGCTGGGATTGGAAGAGACAGATGCACCTGGCCATGGTTGAGCGTTCACGATGGCTTCACATACCAATGCTACCATAGGATTTACATAGGCCCCTTTTGGGCCATAGTGTGGTACACTGCAAAGGGCATACCTCAGGATGCACTCGGACTTCCAGACGGGGAGAGGAAGGAAGGCCGATCCGAAAGAGAAAAGGACGATCATGTTGTTCGGGGCGACAGAGACGACGAGAGAATGGCAAAGGAGAAGCAGAAGGACAAAAAGAAGAAGAGGAAGGAAAGGGAGAAAGTAAGACGTACAACGAAGAAGAAGAAGAAGAAGAAGAAGAAGAAGAGGACGGAGGCCAGTGGGAAGACAGAAGTGCTATGTCGATGCGAGCTATCGAGGGGGGAATTGATAAAAAGATCACGCGCAAGGACCTTAAGTTTTCGATTGGACGAAGAATTTGAAAGAAAGTTGCTGGTACTAAAAATAGAAAATCCGTGATACTGAAAAAGGAAGTCCCTCCCTGCAGACACCTTTTCCTTCTCGTGGCGCGAGGGTGGGTTAGGTGGTGCCATGGTGGACTTGGTGAGGTCACACAGACGTCGCCTGGCTCTTCCTCGAAATAATGTGCGCGATCTGCACCCCCGCGCGAGGGGCATTCCGACCCATCCAGGATTTTCTATTTTTAGTACCAACAACTTATTAGGCACAAGATGACACTCCGGCACGACTCCACGAAAGCCACCCCATATCGCACCGGGCCCGAATTCCTGGTAAGGTGCGTCGTTAAAAGCGGGCACACCCCCCCCAAAAAAAAAATACAAAAAAAAAAACAAAGCGGAAACACCGGTTTGTTGCAAAGTCCGGCTTTAGATAACGACGCCACCGCATTCAAGTGCGGTGCCGCGTAGTCCCGACTCCTCCTCCGCGCCTTACGTGTTTGGGGCATGACCTTGCTATCCTGGAGTCCCTTTTCTGAGCTCGAGCCCGAACAAAAGAAGAAGGAGAAGAAGAAGAAGAAGGAGAAGAAGAAGAAGAAGAAGGAGAAGAAGAAGGAGAAGAGGAAGAAGAAGGAGAAGGAGAAGGAGAAGAAGAAGAAGACTGGGCGTCGTGGGCGATGTCGCAGTCCTAGTGTGGCTGATCATCCGAAACGACCCGCGAAGTACCATTGGTTTGGTCAGCCTTCACCTAACCAACTACCTAATACTACGCGGGCTCATCCAACAGCGCTAAAGCTTGTGGTGGTGGTGGTGGTGCTGCTGCTGATGATGATAATGATGACGAAGAAGAAGAAGAAGAAGAAGAAGAAGAAGAAGAAGAAGAAGAAGTGGAGATTGAAAGCGATCCCGAGACAAACGAGCTGCTATAGCTTCACGCAAACTCTCTGTCATATGGTGATTAGAATGGGCATTCCTCAGTGGCACAGTGGCACTCGAACATGGCAGCACCGATATCCTCTGCAGCCTAGCCTGTTTGAAGGTGGAGGGTGCTTCAGAGCCGTAGGCTATTTGACGGCGGATACCGTCAGCGATGTCAGGCGGCCGGAGCTTCATAGCCGCACACAGCCAACTGCCAGAGGCGGCGGAGGGTGTTGAGAGTTAAGCATTCATAACCCACGACAACTATAAATAGGCCACACGATGTAGCAACGTGATGAATCTTAGACGTTGTGAATCTTATGATAACCATAGCCCCGGAACAAACAGAATCACCCATCCAGCACTCGAATAATCATTTTCAAATTTTCACCGTTAATCAATTCAGGAAGCGTATGGATAAGGTGCATATGGAGGAGCAGAGGATCATAGGGGGGCGGTGACACGGCGAGGACACACTGTCAGCATGGTGAAGGGGAGAAATGA